AGATGTAAATGCTTAAAATAAATTCCATGAAACTAAATTAGGAAACAAGTTCTTTATCCTTTCCTTCCCAGTGGTGGCACTGGCAGGAAACTTAATAAACTAGACCAGAGGCAGAGATGTTTGGAAAACCATCAAAAGTCATTTGATGGGATGCACAACAGTGAATCTTTAATATAGTTAAAAGAGGAAGAAAAAATAGGATCAAACTGAATGCTTTTCTGTTTCACAACTCTTCTCTATGAGGATTTCAAAGTCAATAAGAATAAGTAACCTGTCATCTACACATATATTACCACAGTAAAGCGAAATAATATTTATTATTAGTTTAGTAAGAGGTGTATTATTTCTTAATGAGGATTTTGTATTTCCAAACTATGATCAAATAATCTACATTTATTTAGGACTCTGAGACAATATGTGTTTCTTTATGTTTATTCCTGGGCCTACTCACTAAAGGAGAAGACTCTCTTGCCTCTATAATCAAGGAGGGAGTAGGGCTAGAGAAAAAGTTTGGAACATGATTGAGATATAACAATTTCATGGGCATCACCATTTCTCATCAATACTCTCCTTTGGGAAACATGCAGAACAGGATAAACAGATAAGATTAGAAACTGGATAGAACAGTAAGGACCTGCCTCCTTTGACCATCAAAGAAGAAGCTGGAGGGGATTTATTGATAAACGTGAACAAGATGATGCATGCTGTGGTTAAACTGCATTCTTGTGAGTCTAATGACTTAAAACCACTTAGAAGATTGGTTTACCAACTCATTAGATAACTGTCTGTAATGTGAGATTCACTGTTTTGTTTTTTTTGGAGTCTCACTCTGTCACCTAGACTGGAGTGCAGTGGCCGTTCCCGGCCACTGCAGCCTCGACCTGCTGGGCTCAGGCGATCCTTCCGCCTCAGCCTTTCAAGTAGCTGGAACTACAGGCGCGCGCTACCACACCCGGCTAATTTTTTTGATTTATTGTAGAGATGAGGTCTCGCCAAGTTGCCCAGGCGGGTCTTGAACCCACAGGCTCAGGCAATCCACTCACCTCAGTCTCCCAAAGCACTGGGATTACAGGCTGAGCCACCGAGCCTGGCTGAGATAACTGTTTTTTAAAGCATCTCAGTTATTTAAAATAATTGCTACTGTTCTGATATAAAATTATATAATCTTCAAATATAATTTAAACATCATACTGTGAACACATGGAAGGATATGTCATAATCTAAATTCACAACTTGTTTCAGCAAACTTCCTGATTCATTAACAGGGTGTAGGCAACAGGAAAGAATGAAGTCTTTCTCTACTCAAATATTTGGAAACCCCATTCATTTTTATACTACTCATTCATTAGCAGTCCATCTCATAGATATAATTTGATATCTTTTTCCAGTTCACCCTGTTTGGTTACCTTTTGACTCAGTGAAATGCTCTATTGTTAGATCTAGTCAGTAACTGGCAACTGCTGAGTGAGTAACAGTAGCCCCTTTTTCCTCTCTCATGTGGGTGGCCTAGGATTTGGATGGGTACAGATGGGAGCCAATATTGAATGTGGGCAACAGTCCAGTGGATAATTATTGCCTGGTCTCTTGGCTAAAGACTTTGGGCATGACACAGAAATTTTTATGTATATGACATGTTCCATCAAACTATATTGTTTTATTTTCTTGAGTGTAGGGGATGGGGTAGGAAAAAATCAAGACCACACACATTGCTGATCTGTATACTTATTTCATACTTTAGCAATTTCTATACCATTCCTTATTAGATAATGCTCATGGTAGGCCAAGTTTACTGTCAAGTCACCAGAGCATTCAATTTGCTGTTATTATTCTTATACTTTGGCCCAGGTTCATATTCTAGGAGGAAAGAACTGAAACTTAAAAATCTTTATCTCTAAATATAAATTAAATTTCTTTTCTTATTTGTGACTCTAAAAGAATAGAGAGTAGGACACAATACTCTGAGTTAAAACAATTTGGTGGCACTAAACTTTAGTCATTCAATATACACTTATGAAATGCTTGCTTGTATCACTGTTCCAAGTACTAAATCTAAAAAGCACCAACAAGGATCCTTAGAAATAGGGCAGCAGACATTGTATCCCTGTTGTTAATAGGAAATTTTCTGTCTAAAGAAAAAGAAAACGATATGGCGAGGTTGTTATACATTCCAGGATGTGGGACTGGGTAAACCAAACTGAATTTTCTCATGTTTCTATGGGGAAGTAGAAAAAAGGAATGCGAAAAATTATAGGAGGAATTTTGTATTATCCTTGGATGGTGGCATATGGTATCAGAGAAAAACTGGCTTCAGGCTTCTTTTTAGTTCACAATCCATCTCATTCCAACTCCTTATCCCTGTACACACACTTCTTTCTAGCCCCATCTTCATCCTCCTTTAGAGGAGGAATCCCAAGTTTCTGCAAAAGTACAATCTATACATTTATCCATGTTACAGATTTCTAACAATACAGAAATCAACACTGCACACTTTGAAGGCATATTCCAGGGTAGCATATTATGGAAAAAAAAGGACTAATGACACACACACACCACCCATGGAAAGCAATTTTCCAGGGATTGCAATATATTAAATATAAGCAGAAATAGGAAATTACTTTCTAAGCAGTCTATGGCTTCTTTTTTTCTCCTATTTCCACATAGTCTGTCAAGTGAGGTTGTTCCCAGTGGCTCTGAGAGACTGAGAGGCTTTTACAAAGTGTTAGGTTCTGAATTTAAACTGAAGCCTATGTGTAAAGAAATTCCATTTTACAAGGCACTATTTGAAAATAATATTTGGAAATATGCTTTCTAGAGTGCTACTTATCCAAGAACTAGCCTCTGAGTAGTTATAGCTTTAACCAATGCAAATGAGTAGTTATTTACCTTTTGGAGGCTTCTTAAGGCAGCCAATGTACAACCTTTTGTACTATATCTTAATATTTAACCACTCATAAATCAAAATGTCATTCTTATGTATTACCAAATACGCTTACTGCAATTAAAACCAATTTCTTCTCTCTTAATCTTCCATGAAGGCAGAAAATACAGTAACTAATCATCCTTTCTGATAATAACCTTGTATAATTAAAGACTTTTAATTGTCTTTTATCTTTTGAGGCTAAGTAGCCCTATGTGGCTCAATCTTTTGGTGGTATTTTATTTTGGTGTGAATGTTGATTGATAAATACTGCTTATTCAGTGTTAGAACAATTTCTCCATGGTATACAAATGATCTGATTAGGATCTTTGGTCTCCAAATGCTGCTATTAAACTGTAGACATCTGAATTTTAGACACTTCTTTGGTTTCATTTGGGGGAAATTAGTTTTATAGTTGAGAGGTTTTTGGATGTAATCTTTTTGGCTGTCACATAAGAAATACAGTACCAGTGGTTGTCAATTTGTAGTCTGACAAATTATTCACTAGCCTTTTCTGTTTTATTTGTTCTAATGACATTTTCATACAAATGTGTAATTAAAAAATTAAAGCTCCTTGTTTAGAGAATGAATTATTTAAAAATTCTTTCTTTACCTTGATTAGTGTTGCCCAAAGCCTCTAACTCTTCTGCAATTACTGTACTTGGTTTATTGGAGGCACTTAAGAGAGGACACTGACAATTCATCTGTCCTGATGTAGGCTGTTTGAGTCTTGAAGCATAAATGTAAAGTTTGAAATACACCCACTGACAGCCACATTGAGTCTTACGTGCAGGTGGGGTTGGCAATACCAGGTGTGATTTGACAGGCCCTGGCCTGGCTCTCTTGTAGTCCCCAGGCTAGTGTCAAGTTCCATCTTTTAACAGCCTCTTTCCTTCAGGACTTGAAGAGTCCAAGAAAAGCATCTCTTGAGGAGTAACTTAAGCCAAATTTCCACATTGATCTGAAAAGTAAACGGCTATCACAGCAGACTTTTCTACAGGAAGAGGAACACGGCAAAGGGAGGACAGCGGTGACCATGATGAGGGAGCCTTCAGTTGGCGCTTTCTTCGACGCCCTAAATTCCTCCTCGTGCTAGTTGCCCCCACACACCCCACTGTTGACTCCTTAACGCATCATTATCTTCCTCACGTCAGATGTGGTGAGCAGAGTGAGCGTGCACTGAGAAGGGCCTGGGCCTTCAGGATAGCAGCTATGGGGAACTCCGGCTCTATATTGACGGAGCCTCCTTTCAGTCCCCGGTAAGCAGGAACATTTTTATTGACTGCAAAAGTAACCACTCGTGCTTAGGTTCTTTCCCTTGCTGAGGTAGACGGCTGGGAATGTTCCTGGTGAGACACCCCTTGCCGCGACCCGCGACGGGTGCTGACCCCACACGTGGGACGCCTGCGTTCGGCTCCGCGGTAGTCACAGGCGGGCTCCCTGGAGCTGCAGCGCCCCGCCCACTGCCACCTCCGCACGTCTCATTGGCCAGGCTCTGCGTTCGCCTTGGCTCCTGATTGGTGGCTACGCTTGTCGGTCTGCGCGGCAGGGACATTTCCGCATTGAGGGGACTGCTGCGAATGGAGGGGGAGGGGAGGTGTTTAGGAGAAAGTGGGGTCTTTGGGTGGCGGGAGCAGGAAGACGGTGGGCAGACGGAGTCAGCAGCCACGGGCGAGGTGTGCATGTGTGAGGGAAGAGGGGTGACCTCTTAGCCTGCGTGCTTTCTTCCCGGGGCTCCGTAAACGCCCCTAATTTCCCCGCTGCTAAAGGAAGAGGAGGAAGGTGGGTCTCGCTGGCGGCTTGGGGAGGGGCGGGGTCGGGCTTCCGGCGACCCCGGCGGTGGGTGCGCTTCCCCCAAGAGGTGTAGCGCCCGGTTCACACTCGCTGGGTGGTCCCTGACGCCGATTCTGGAATTCTGGAAAGCGCAGGGCAGAAGGGATAGGAACATGTGTGGGAAGTGTCGGGGCCCTCTCAGGGGACTCCGGCCACCCTCGCCGGTGGCGCCGTATTCTCTGAGGGGCAACGTAGCCATCGGCCCCTCTTGGGGAAAAGCTGCGGCCAGGTTTCGCCACTCGCGGCGGGAAGGCGGGGAGTTGGAGGCCCCGGCCAGTCTGCCAGCCCGAGCGCGGAATTTGTTAGCGCCTCCTAGTCCCGGGATGTTTATGGGCTGGTAAAAATGGTTGCATTGGCCCCCGTTGCCGGCCTCACCCGCTTCCCCCGACCCCTGCTTGGCGGGAGTCGCTGTTGGCCAGGGTTTTCCGGGGAGCCGGCGGGAGGCTGGACAGCGGCGCCGGGGAGGGGGCAGCTAGGGGTGCGGCCTCCCAGTGCCTGCTGCAGTCCAGCCCCGGAGGGCGTGGGGACCGGGAGGCGGTGAAATAGCCGCTTTAGGTCCGCCTCTTTCATTGATGAAATTAAAGTTCGCGTGGTTTTACCTTTTCCGGAGTCTCCAGCTGGCCCCCATTTGTGTCAGGAGCGCAGTGTAGCCAAGAGTTCCCAAGCGGACTCAGTCGCACTAAGTTTCTGTCTTTTGGAACTGAAGAAGGTTTTAACTAGGTGTATTTTTTTTTAGCCAGTTTTAATCTCTTTGAATAAATACTCCCTTAAGTAGCTAAACATAGGGGGGAAAGAATACGTCTGTTGTCAAAGCAGGGGAGGAAGAGAGACCTGCCCTATAGCGTGACTCCTAGAGACATTTTTTTGAAAAATTATAAACCAAAGTGTTTTACTAAAATCCTAAAATGTCGAGATTTGTACAAGGTAAGGCATGTTTCTTCTTATTTCTCGGGTTGCTTCAGCCGATTTTGGGGGCTGGCTGTCGAGAGGTTGGTGGGTGGTTTGGAAGTGGAAGTGTTCACTTGAGATCACATTTGCGAAACCTTTTGCGTTGAATTGTCATCTGAGCTGCCTTGAGTTGCTTGGGTTGGCGCTTCAGATGCGTGTAATTTATGCCCCTGTGCCCTGCTGGGTTTAGTTCTGCCTCCCTGAAATCAGGTTAGTAGTACTCTGGCTCCCCTGGATAGTGGCTGTGAATGATGATTAAACAAGATTTTGGCTGCTGGTTAATCCCTGCTCTCTTTTTCTGGTCGATGTCAGGGTACCTCTGTGTGCGGGGACGGGAAGGGCTGGGGAACCGGGAGGACTGGGAAAGGCAGGGGGTTTTGCCAGGACTGTTGGGGAAGCTTTAGTGTTCTCCTCTGCTACTCCGTTTGTGTGTACGTGGTTTGCGTCTCAGATTCATTTATTGCGAAACCGGGAGTAGCCGGTAGAAGCTAGAGGTCATTTCAGCTGGAGAAATGACTTTGCTGCATTGCTGTGTTTATGTTTCCTTTTTTTGAAATAAGATGATTAAGGTTTCTTTGAAATTTGAAAATTGCCCCTGAATTAATTCCACGTGTGTATGTAAAACAGGGTTAGGGAATGCCAATCAACTGAGCTAAGCAGTAACATTGTGTGTATGTATGAATGCATGTGTGTGTGTATGGTATATATACATTTAAATTGGTGCTGCCTTAAACCCTCTATCACCAGTTCGTAGGGTAAGATTTGCCTTCAGGTGTGCAAGAAAACCCTTTCCTTGTAGATCCCGGCGTATGAAAGCTTCAGCCATCTTGATGAACACAGTAAAGTTCACAACTACTTACTGTGCTTCTTTCTTGATAAGTGTAGATGTACTTTGAAAAAAAAAGTTGTGTCAGTAATGGCCATAAATTGACCCTGGGAATAAAAATATCCTAGTGAATTTTACATCACTTTATTAATGTTGCTTTAAATTTTGTATAATAAAGTAAAAGAATTTGACTGCCTGCATTATTACTGAAACAGATGGGACATCATGCCTGCTTGTAGCGCTAAGCTCAGAAATGTCACTTGTCATTAGACTTTCAAATTCATGTTATGCCTTATATATGGTAAGAGATGCTTCTTATGTTCTGATTGAGTAAATGGCTTGTTGGAGAATAGAAAGGCAGAAGTAACTGTTAAAATGTACTGTACTGTGATAACAATATTCAGTTACCATAAAGCCTGTATTTTGCAACAGTATGCTAGGGAAAAGTAGACAGGTCACTTCTCTTTAAAAGTTAGGAATATCATTAAACTCTAGGTGTCCCATGTAGTTGTACTTTAGAATGGCTTGTAGAGTTGGTGAGCATTGACTGATTTTACATTCTTTGTGGTTAGGGTTTACTGTCCTCAGAAGATTCAAATCAAGTGGCATTACCTAAGAATCACTGTGTGTTTGCCATTACTTTGTCATCTGTTTAAAAAAAAAATCTTTATTTTGGAATACTTCCAGATTTATAGAAAAGTTGCACAGTTGTCAAAACTAAGAAATTAACTTAAGTACATTACTACTAACTAAACTACAGACTTCCTTCAGATTTCTGTTCCCCTCGTTCAAGCCAAATACCACATTGCATTTAGCTGCCATCCACTTTTTATTTTTCTGTTTAAGACACAAGGGTGGAGGGAGGGGCTCAATACATTTTCTGGGCTAGAGTGCAGTGGCTATTCACAGGTTCATAGCCTCCAACTCCTGGGCTCAAGCAATCCTCCTATCTCAGCCTCCTGAGTAACTGGGACTGCAGGCATGCACTACTATCCTGGCAGTTGCCATGCGCTTTTGCCTTTTACTAAATGGTAGTTTTTCTTTGAAAACTGGCAGTCTTGCACAAAAAGATGACACACCTCCAACACTTTTTAAAAAAACATGATTGTGCTCATTATCATTGTTTAAATTTTGTACTTCAAGTGTGAGCCCTCTATATGTTTAACTCTTGCTGCTGTTATGATAAACCTAGTTGACTAATGACACAGCTGTTGCTACAGATCAGTTTTTAAGTGTAAAAGTTGAACTTTTCGGTGTTGATTTTTTAAAAAAGCAAATCAAAATATTTGATTTTTGCTGCAGAACTTATTAATATTTCCACTCATTGGCACTTAGATGCTACTTCATAGGCAAAAGAATTAACAAATGTTAGGTTTCTACTTATTTTCATATTATATTTTCGTATGTTGTCTCATAAAGCTTCTAAACAGCTCTAAGAGGTAGATTTTTATAATGCCCTTAGAAATTTAAGTATCCTGCCCAAAGTTCACAGCTAGTATGAAGCACTGAAGTTCATATTTGAATGTGTCTAAAACCCTTGTTTTTTCCAACACTTCTCGTTCTTCTCACATTTCAAGAAATTCAAGAAATGACCCGTCTCTATCTAGACTGTCAGTTCTCTTTGGGCAAAGATGATTTATATTCTCTGGGAAGATTACAGTGTTTTGTAAGTGGTAGATTCTCTAAAAGAATTTGTCATGAATGACAAACAAGAAACCCACAACTTAGCACGTTCCATGTACTTTTTAGTAGGCTAGCCTACTAAACTATTTAGCCTACTACATAGTATACTACTACATTTTTTGGTTGTGTTTTTTTTTAATAACATCTCTTAGATTACATAAATGTTGAGAAAGATGGAAGGGTAGTTTGAATCCTGTTACTAACAGGTGATCTTAGACACAAAACTTTTTTGAATCTCAGTTTCTACCTTTTTAATTGGGTATTAATGCTTATGCCTCAGGTTTATGAGAAACTGAAATGAGATGAATTATGTGGATTTGCTAGGAACATATTAGGCGACTAGTAAATTTTACTTTTCTTTCCTGAAATGATGGTCTCTTAGATAGTATTGCTACCAGAAATCGTCAACAGAAATAAACAGTAGCAAGACAGTATGACGGTTCTTTGTTTTTCTGTTCCAGATTTGGTGTTCAGACCAGAGCACTTGGGAGAGACTGTTTTTAAAGTGCATAGATGGGAGGGTGGGGTGAAGCTTGTACAATGTGGGGGCCAGAACAGTGGGTGGCATTTGAGTCTAGTCAACAAAAAAATGTCTAGAGGTCTTACTATGTGCAGTGCACTGTATTGAGATTTCTGCTATGTCCTTTATAGTGGGTGCTTGAAGTTTAGCAACTCTAGGTATTATACCTATGTGTTGTGCGAATTGTGTTTTGAGTGTCATAGAACACAGATTGCAACACTTAGCTTGAATCTCTTTCCCCAAATCTAGGTAATATGATTTACAGGAAAGCTAGGCATCTCCATCCTCAAGCATGTTTATTATAAGCTATTAGGTGGAAATATTCGTTGAAAAAAATAGATAGGCAGGAGAGTTCTCAGGATATAGTCTTTGGCCATAAGAAGGTTCAACTTCCTTTGTTCATCTTCCCAAGTCTGTGTTCCTCAGGCACTTAAGGATCCTTCTCATAGGAAAACCCTTCTTTACTGCATCTGCAGCATAATTCCTTGTTGGTGTATTGTGCTCTCCTGCCTTCTTGTGAAATTTCTTCCGCAGCTGTTGATATTCTCTGCCCTTGGGGATGTTGCAGGGCCCCCAATTATGCAAAATAATATGAATATTATCTCTTCCCCTGTTGCAGTTTGAGTTCTGGGGGTCATCTGCGGATGTGATCTTTGCCAGATTTGTCAGTGGGAATTTTTTTTTGGAATTTTGCTCTTAGAAAGATCTGAGCGCAAGCCGGGCTCAGTGGCTCAGCCTTTGGGAGGCTGAGGTGAGTGGATTGCCTGAGCCCGCGGGTTCGAGACCCGCCTGGTCAGCAAGACTCATCTCTACAATAAATCAAAAAATCAGCCAGGCATGGTAGCGCATGCCTGTAATTCCGGCTACTGGGAAGGCTGAGGCGGAAGGATCGCCAGAAGCCAGCAGGTCGAAGCTGAGGTGGCCAGGTGCGACCACTGCACTCCAGTCTGGGCGACAAAGTAAGACTCCAACTCAAAAAAAAAAAAAGAAAGAAAGATCCGAGCGCTGTGGGGGGTAATCTCCCTAAATGTTTTGAAACTTCCAAATAGTAGAGAGACTAATGTTGAATAGCCAGCTAATGCCATGTTAGGTGCTTATGCTGTAGTGTTAGAGGCACTGTTTATTAAAAATCGTTTTAAATATGCAATTATCTATCTAAATTTGGTAAAAATGTCTCTAATGTTCTTAAACTGAGGTACTTATATTTCAGGGAAAGCCATTCAAGTGCCTCTGTGTCACTTAAAAAATATTTGAGGCCTATCAACTTTCCCATTTGTTAGAATTCTTTTTGTGACTTTTTTGGTGAGTCCTGTTTGGTAGATGGCAGCTAGCCAGGGAAGATTACTGAGCTAATTATAACTGACGGGTCTTAGATGAGTACAGGGACAGGAAGAATTCTGGGGCCTGGACCTTCTCAAATCCTAAAACCAAATTTAGCCTGTTGCTGGTCATTCAGATGACTAGAATACTTTTAGCACAGGGGGATTTGAGTCAGGACTAGAGTCATTAAAGTAATGACTGAGACACACCTCTCATTTTTCAAAGAGAACTTAAAAGTGGTTTAGGTCTTACTATGTTGCTAGAGAGAGAGGGGGCTTTAGTTAAATTCAGAGTCACGGTTATAAATGCAAAATTAGAGAAGTTCAGAATGAAGAGTTGAGCTGATGAAAACTGTTGACTGTTTTTCAACATGGACTTTAATCTCTATGGTTAAGTTGCCCATGTTCTTGCTAACTCAGACCTTCTTCTAATAAGATGGATGATTTTTATTTGTGGATGCCTTCCTAGGGAAAAAATTGACAAGAAACGTTAGAGAAATAAGAAATATTAACTGATATACTTCTTGGAAGTGTCATTTTAATATTCTGAAGATAAATTGAAAAGTAACATTAAAATGAAATTACTCTTAGATGTTATTTGGGACCATTGGCATTTTCTTGCACTATT